ATATATTATATTATATTTATTTACTGAGGATTTACAAAATAGTTAAAATACTTAATCTGCTAAAGAAAAAAAAATTGCCAGATGGAAAATATATTGATCATCTTGAGCTCTTGGTAGATCAGTCACTAAATTTTCTCTTCTTTCTTTTTCACTTTCATGTGATCAATGGAAAAAATTTAAATACTATAATTATTTTAACTTGATTAATTAAATTTAGTTTTATAAGTCTATGTTTATATTATGTGCTGATTTTTATTCTAAATTAGCATTGAAATTTTTTTTTTTCAGTTTGATTAATTTTATTGTCATAATCAGGCCTCTATCAGGAGAAAAGTCGCATTAATTTCCTTGCATTAAAATTTACAAGTTGTTGTCAGGCAAAATAAAAATTTGAAAGTCAGAATTTGAATATTGAATACAAACATTATTAAATATTAATTTTCAATTTATTAATAATATATTAATAATAATTTAATTGAAATAGTTTTTTGGCTCTTGCTGGCATCTCAATATTTTTATAATATAATATAAATCATTATCTATTTTTAAACTTTATATGAAAAACATAAATCACTATAAATTCAATGGATTAGACAATAACTCACTTGTGATTATTAATTGTGTGCTCAGAAGGTGTGTAGGGGTGTAAACTAGTTGAGTCGAGCTTGAGTCACCCTTGAATTGAGCTTGAGCTTGATTAATTAAACAAGGGGTGTAAACTAGTTGAGTCGAGCTTGAGTCATCCTTGGATTGAGCTTGAGCTTGATTAATTAAACAAATTCAGGCTCGAGCTCGAGCTTTATTCTGGTTTAAGCCGACTCACGAGCTATAATCAAGAATCACTTGATATAAAAAAGTGAGATATAATTTTTTAAATATGTTTATCAACTTTATATTTAAAATAATAAATGCTAAAATATTTTTATTTTAAACAAGATGGCTCATCGTGAGCTAACGAGTCGAGTCAAGCTGTCTCAAGGTTGACTCGTTAGTGCATTGAGCTTGGCTCATGAGCCATTTATCGTGTTAAGCTTGAGATTGCTCACGAGTTGATTTGACTCTCTTACTGCACAAGGTGTGTGCCACTGCAGTTGCAAGAGAGAAAATTGAGTTCCATTGATCCCTGAAGGTACGCATCAACATTGATGATTGTATAACCAATTTTCCAAATAAATCATGTTCAAACCAAGTTGACCTGCCAAGTTTCTATGATTTAATAAATTGTCCCTAGCAGACGATTACAATCCATGAACTTACTCAAGGAAGGAGAGTAGAACCTATCAAGTTTCGCATTGATGCATTTTCAAAACAACGACTTCAATAAGTTGATGATTTGTTCAGTGGTATATTCCATGCAAGTTGGTGCAAGTCAGCAAACTTGTTCTTTTAATTGACAATTCCTAGGAGTTTGAGTATGGTCATCATAGCTATCCATTTGTCCATGATCCACATTCCACATGGACTCATTTCATACATATTGATGGGCTACACTTGTTACTCCATGGCAGGTCGAACCCCGCCAAGGGGCACTGCCCCCTTGAGCCACTGACATATCTGTCAATAGTTCTTTATATGTTTGCTCCCCCTGAAAATTATGGCTGATTCCGCCCTGATTGTCCTCATTGGCCTAAGGGCCTCGCGGTTTTGTCTAGTTGATGTAACTTCCCAGGAAGTCACCATCCTAGGATTTCTTTGGGATTAACACGCTTAATTTTGGAGTTTCTTAATGAAATTCTGACCAATACGCAAAAAGAGCCTAGATGTATTAAAGTTTAGCTTCTTTTTACTTAAAAGATTTCACATAAGGAGAAAAAACTTATAAACAATTCTTTTATATAGTTAGACACTAGCAATAAAATTTTAGAGTTTTTCTTTATAAACTCCAAGTTTCTTAAGCTTTTTTCTCTCTCTCTCTCTCCTAATTTTTTCATCATATTTTTATTTGCTAAAACTTTGCAAAGAGTATAATTCAGATATCATTCAATTAAAAATCTATATCTAACATGAGTGATGGAAGATGTCAAAGATGATGGCAATGACAAGCTTTGATGATGATAGTGACTACGGACCTTGACGGTTGTGGTGATGATGAAAGTTGATGTTGATGGTGAATTAGACATTAATAATGATGGGGACATCAAGCTTCATAGATGGCAAACACATTAAGAATTAGAATCAGTAGAGACCTTAAATGTTGATGTTCTTTGTGATGACATATATTGAAATTACTAGCGAGTAGTGGCGACGTATGATTGCATTGTTAGCCACAGAGTTCATTGGCATTATTTATGATAACAATCACCAGTATTGTTTTTTATAATGAGCATCAATGTTGTTACTGACAATAAATGTTGGTTTTGTTGATGATGATAATTAAGTTTTAGCATTGTTAGCAATGTCATAAAAGTTGTTGGCGACCTTGTAATTGGTAATGGTAGTCTTCGACATACCTAAGCAATGAAGCTGGGTATCAATCTTATTGGAGATGGCAAACATTGACTTTGTTGGCAACCATCAATGTAGGCCTTATTGGCAATAATGGGTGTTTCTTTATTGGTGATATTTGACATCAATATTGGTGATGAACTGAAGTGTTGGCATTGGTGCTAAAATATGTTAACGATATTTGTGGTATTAACATATATCAATAATGTCAACGACAATGGGGGTCAATTTTGTAGGAAATGATAGTTATCATATTGTCGGTAAGAATTGTCATGTTCTTCCATGGAAAAAACTAACATTAACCTCATTGTCCATGATGGATATCTACCGCAGAGATAGAATGCATTAACTTTATTGGTGTCGTAGATATATGTTTGACTGACAATGAATAGTGTCAATGATAGTGGTAAATGTGAGGGTTATCCTTGTTTGTGATTAAATGTATTAATGATATTGGTGATATCGAACATCAGTCTTATTGGTGAATTCAAACATTGGTTATGATCATATGTTGGGTATCAACCTAGGTGCATGTTGACATTTGGAATTAGTTAGGAGTTAACATAGAGAATCAACCTCATTGGCAAATATTATTGTTTTTGCTGGTGGCGATGTTCGGCATCGATTGAAGGTTACGACATTTATGATAGATGTTTGCAATTATAAAAACGAGATGTTCTTTTGCTGAAATTTATATTTTACTCTATTTTCTGTGTGACTGGGTGTCCAGATCAGCGGCCAGTCGCCATTTTATTGTGCATTTTTTAGTTCTTTTTATTAAATTATTTTTTTATTTATTATTTTATTTAGAATATCACTTTTAAAAATTTATCTGCATTTACATAAATGCTTTTTTTTTGTTGGCCTAATATTAACCGGCCATTTGGAATTATTTCACTTTTTTTTTTTTCTGTTTTGACTAAAATAAAAAATATCTATATTATATTGAATTTTATTTAATATCCCATAGGCTAATTTATGCTACAAAATAGCAGGCAAACAATTGTGACTAAAATATTGGTGTGATTGAACATGGTGGGCCTGATGGCGGGTGGCGGCTGACGATGTCGTGATGTTGTCGAGTGTAGTGGGCAAATTATTACGCCCGGTGTCCGGATTTGTCCGCACACCAATCCAGACACGCCACGTCACCAAAATGCATCGGGCCCTGATGTATTTGGGTAACATGGCGCGTCTGAATTGGATGTCCGGACGTCCGGTGACCGGACGTAATAATTCGCCAGAGTAGTGGCAGGCGGTGATTGACTATAACATACATCAATAGACAATTATTCGAGAGGGTTGTCATTTTAAAAGAAATAAAAAATGCCTAAAAACTATTATATTTATTAAAAAATTTAAAAAAAAAAACCAAATAAAAAATGAATCGATCGTATTTTTTAGGAGAAAAAAAAAACAAAAATTTATTTCAAAAGTTTCCAAAAAAATTTAATGGTTAAAGCAATAAACTTTCAATGGAAACAAATTGTATGAGGATATGTTCATATAATTTTAGTTTGAATAAAATTTTAAATTATTTCATGTGTTTTGAGATTAATATTAACTATAATAAATTTATATATTTCATTTATTTAAAAATAAATTTACTAATTTTTGAATTCCTTGACTAAAATTGTATAATGGACTTATTTAATGCTGTAAATGCTACAATAATATTTTTTTCCTTAATTTCTTTGTATCCATTGGCTCCGCATTTATCTTTTGTACGTTATTAGGGTTTAAGGATTAATTAAGGATTAGAATTTAGAAGAGAATTTATATAACTTTGAGGGAGAGGTAGAAATTACAATAAGCATGTAGAGTAAATAATTTAATTTTGATTAAGTTGTTACAGTTACTTAAGGTTTCAATGGACATTTATAGACCTTTAGATAATGGAAAGCATAAAAAAAAACTCAATATAGTATCTTATATTTGCAAGTCATAATGCAAAAGAGTTGGTGTAATCATTCAATAAAATTAAAAAAAAAATTATTAGATATCAATCATATGTATGATCATTAATTAATCATGTTGACAATTAGAAAGAAAAGAAATAATAATTAATTGCATGCGCATGTATTCAATCCATCATATATACAATTGCAAATTTAGCAAAGTCAACATTGATATCCATAGAAAAGCTAAAATTGTTCCAAATAAAACCTTAGTTGTGGATTTGCCCTTCTTTTTTTTTTTTTAATAAATAAAACTTTATTTCAAATATGAAAAAAGCAGTACATGCAAGAGCCGAAAATCAAAATACGTAAGAGAAGGGACAAGAAAGCAAAAGGTACAAAGCAAAGTAAAAACAATCATGGATGCAAGAAAATGAGCCAAAAGCAGACTCAGAGTGGCAGCCCCCCTGCAACGACCCCGTAGTCAGGCACGGGCCATCCATTGGTGATAAACATAGAAGAAACCACATCATCAGCCTAGACAACCACTAAGCAGAAGGCTTACCACCAAGGTTGCCAACAAGTCCTTGCCAGCAAAGTGATAAGCAGGGAGCTACCTCATCATTGTCCAAAGCGTCAGTAAAACCCACGGCAACAAAAGCGAATGGGCAGCCCAATTGCTATTTCTTCTTAGATTTGCTTTTACGTTTTTTGCCTCCACTAATAAGAATAAACTCATCCTCCACATTGTCACCCAAGACATCCCCTGCAACCTCATAAGAAGTGGAGACATCCTCATTCATATCCAACCAATCAGTTTGAACCAAAATAGAGTTATTCGACAACCGAGCCAGATGAGCTTTCAAATCTGCGCTAGACATAACAGAAATAGGAATATCCACAAACTCCATATTTCTCTTAGCAACATTCACAATAGGAGAAAAGTTTGGCAGAATAGAAGTAATTTAAACCTCACCAGATGGGCCACTATCCTCAAAACCAACCGCAATAAACCTATCACCTGAATTAGCCACAAAATCCGCACAAGAATGATTGACAGAAAGGTCATTACCACAATGATTAACATCACACACACCTAATTCTATGTCATCCACAACCTAGCAAGTGTGTTTGACAGTCAATATAGGATCAGAGCTACCACCAGCATGTGACGGTACCATCCTAGGAACATTAGGACTACCCATGACATTAGCAACAACTAAGGGAGGGGAAGGTAATTGCTCAACAGGAAAATTCAATCCACAAGTTCAACGGAGAGGCAAAAAATTGTTCTGGAAC